AGGATTTTCAAAAAATGCTAAGTCGTCATCTTTTCTTTCAAGAGGCAGGTGAGCCCAAGCATGCAGCACCCTCTGGGATCTGTCCCAGCTCACACCTGCCCTGGATAAGCAGCAAGGGAATTTGAAGCTGTGTTTAAAGAATTAACCTGACAAGAGAGGCTCTTCCTGTAAACACCCAGGCCAGTCCTCTCCCTCCCATGCTTGGCTTCAGCCTCGCCTCTGCTTGGCTGTGCAAACCGTTCTTACTCATCCCACCTGTGGGCCCAAGAGCCTTCCTCTCTATGCCAGGTGTGCTCTCCCTGGAGGAGGGATGCTGGGCCACCTCCACTTCCTGCCTCAGACCTCAGGTCAGAGTGGCAAGTGGCGGTCTCACTCAGGCCACATGGCTGCAGGTGGTCTGCCTGACTCCATAGCCTGCACTTGGCCACAGGACTGTCCTGGGAGGGAGACTGAGAGAGAGCCCAAAGGCAGGACAGCAGTGTCTAGGTGGGGAGGCTCTGGGTTCTTGGTCAGCCCCGCCTCTGGACTGGGGCCTCTATGGACAGCTGTACATGGGTGGAATGGGGAGACCCATGTGTCCTCCCAGGGTCACTGGAGCCAGAAGTCTGTTCATTTCACCAAACACATTCCGAGCTCCTTCTAGGTACCAGAGCTGCCAGGACCTGAGGACTGACAGATGGCATAGTTCCTGCCCTTGAGGAGCTCACAGTAGAGGGAGGAAGGGGGAGGGAGAGGTGTGGGAGCCACATGTGGTCTGGAGGGCTTCCAGGAGGCAGTGACAGCTGAGGTGATAGGGCCTAGTCTTGTTGGTGTGAGGGGACCAGCTCGAGCAGGCACAGGGTGTGGGACAGCAAGGGAGGATGGGGTCCCTCACACACAGCAGTGTCATAGGATGACAGAGGGTGACCTGGTCAGAGGCCAGGCCTGGGGCTGGAGAGGTCATGGAGACCTCTGTGTGCTTGTGAGGGGCTAATGGTTTATCCGCTGAGATGAGGAGGCCAGTGAGGGCCCCGCAGAGTCTAAGCAGAGGGACGGAGCTGCCTGTGGTAGAGAAGGGGTGATAGGGGACAGGGTTGGGAGCTATTTAGGAGGTCACTTTGGGAAAGTTCGGTGTTACCTTTCACCAAGATTAGCAACTCCTCTGGAGGAGAAACAGAGGTGGGGTGGGGGTGATGAGGGCTGGCACTGTGTTGGGGCAGGAGTTATCAGCCAACTCAGGTGCCCTGCCAAGAGCCAGGGACAAAGATGGTGAGGATATGGCCTGGCACCTGGAGGACTCAGCCATTGCAGTGTGCCTGGGACCCACACGGGTGGGAGAGGCTCCACAGAGGAGCCGGTGCTGAGCTGGCCAGCAGGAAAGGGCGGAGCAGCCTCCTGGAAAGGACCTGTCCTCTTGGTATTTGACACAGTCCCTGGATACAGCTTTGCTCCTCCTGGGGGGAGGTTTCAGAATCCACATGCCCAGCAGCAGCCCAGACCTCTGGAACCACACTCCCTCTGGGGTCAGGCCCTGGCCTACAGTAGGTTTGCTCGAGCTGCTCTATTGTGAGCCACAGACCCGAGGGTTCTGAATTAGGGCAGCCCAGCCACACCCCAGGAGGCCCTCTCAGATGTGAGGGCTATGGGAAAACCAAGACTTGCCTGGTTGTGTTTTGGAGCTATTTGTTTATGAACCCAGCATCGGCACACACACATCCATATACATCCATAAACATGCACATACACACACACCAGTAAACATACACACAATCTGAGTACACATGTACATGTATACATACACAAACACATCTGTATACATGTACACATCTGAATACTTATGTACATGTATACATACAAGCATGCACACCTGTACACATAAGTGAATACATATGTACATGTATATATGCATACTCGTGCACATCTGTAGACATGCATACACACGTGAATACATAGGTACACGTATATATACACATGCACAACTGTATACACATACACACACCTGAATACATTTGTATGTTTATATACAAACGTGCACGTCCATAATATACATACAAACATCTGAATACATATGTACATTTATATACCAACGTGCACATCTGTATACATACATACACACATATCTGAGTACATATGTATATGTATATATATATACAAATGCATATCTGTATACACATACATACATCTGAATACATATGTACATGTGTGTATACAAACATGTGCATGTCTGTGTACATACATACACAAACATCTGAATACATGTGTACATGTATATATACAAACACGTGCACGACTGTATACACGTATGTACACATTTGAACCTACATACATGCGTATATATACAAACATACACACGTTCGTATGCACGCAGACATGATGGAACATATATGTACATGGAACATAGTATATGTCTCCCGTGATTTCTTTATTTATTTATTTATTTTTTTTGTTGAATCTATTTTTATTTTATTAACTTTTTTTTTTCAATATTTGTAATGCCTTTATTTTTTTTTTATTATTATTATTTTTTTTTAATTTTGTCAATATACACTGTATATGATTATTATGGCCCGTCACCGACACCTCCCTCCCTCCTCCCTCTCTCCCCTCCCCCCCAAGAATGTCCTTTCCGTTTGCTTGTTGTAACAACTTCATGGAAGTATAGTTGTTATATCTTCTTCCCCACCCCCCCCCCCCCCGGTTTTTGTGTGTGTGTGTGTGTGTGTGTGTGTGTGTGTGTATGTGGGTGAATTTGTTTGTTTGTTTTTCTTTTTTTTTTTAGCTCCCACCAATGAGTGAGAACATGTGGAATTTCTTTTTCTCTGCCTGACTCGTTTCACTCAATATTATTCTCTCAAGGTCCATCCATGTTGTTGCAAATGGCAGTATTTCATTCGTTTTTATAGCTGAGTAGTATTCCATTGTGTAGATATACCACATTTTCCGTATCCACTCATCCGATGATGGACATTTGGGTTGATTCCAGCTCTTGGCTATTGTGAAGAGTGCTGCAATGAACATTGGGAAACAGGTATACCTTCGACTTGATGATTTCCATTCCTTTGGGTATATTCCCAGCAGTGGGATAGCTGGGTCATATGGTAGATCTATCTGCAATTGTTTGAGGAACCTCCATACCATTTTCCATAGGGGCTGCACCATTTTGCAGTCCCACCAACAATGTATGAGAGTTCCTTTTTCTCCGCAACCTCGCCAGCATTTATCGTTCAGAGTCTTTTGGATTTTAGCCATCCTCACTGGGGTGAGATGGTATCTCAGTGTAGTTTTGATTTGCATTTCCCGGATGCTGAGTGATGTTGAGCATTTTTTCATATGACTGTTGGCCATTTGCATATCTTCTTTAGAGAAATGCCTACTTAGCTCTTTTGCCCATTTTTTAATTGGGTTGCTTGTTTTTTTCTTGTAAAGATGTTTGAGTTCTTTATATATTCTGGATATTAGTCCGTGATTTCTTTATTGGAGCAAAGGAAAGTGAACATTTGTTGAGGTACTTGGCTCTATGTGAAAGTACCTGCTGCTGGGGACAAGGTCCAGGTGCTTGGAATCTCCTGTGGCATCTAACTGCCTTACCTGGGCTAGAGGCAGAATAGTGATGGTTAAGAGTCCTGGCTGTGCTACTGACAGAATGTGTGGTCTCAAGCAAGTGACTTCATGGCTCCGGGCCTCAGTTCTGCCATCTGCGAGATGAGGATGATCATAACATCTACCTCTTAGGGCTGACGTGAGAATCACACGTGAGAATTCATCTGAACCCTGAGCTTGCCTGGGGTGGGCATGAGCTCAGCTCTGGTTATGAGCTAGAGCACTCAGTAAGAGCAGGGGACTGTGGCCAGGGGACGGGAGGAAGAGGGGGAGTTGCTGTTCCCTGCTAACTCTACCCTTCGTACCGTCCATACTTTGTACCATGTGCATACATTAACAAGATTTTTTTAAATGTCTAACAGAGCATTCTGTTACAGAAAATTAAACTATATTCGACTCTTCTCACTTTGATTCTGAACTGTAGATTCTTAGCTCTCATTTCTTCCAATGTTCTGGTCAAGAACATTTAGCAAGGTTTTTAATGATGTTTTAACGATGTTACCAATTTTATCTGCAAATGTGTATCATTATATATCTCTGTTGAGTAAAGAGATGTGAGCGTTCCATATTAACAAATTGTTTATTTTCTTGAATGGTGCGCTAAGAGATTGGCTCTAACTAATGCATTGTGAAAGTACCATGGCAAGAAAGAGAAAAAGAACATATTGAAATTTTATGTTGTGACTTAAAAAAACACCGGCTTGCCTACCAGCGGTCGTGTTCATTGATGGAGAGTGGATTGGGGTGGGAAGGGTGCAGAGCTGCGCGGGGCTGGGAGGCAGCCTGGGATGATGGGGCGAGTTGCTCCCATTCTCAAAGAGGAAGGGGAGGAGGCTGCCACAGCCCTCCTTCCGGCAGCAGTATCCCGTAGAAGCTGCTGCTCTCTGATTTAGTATAAAGGCAGGCAGGCTGTGGTGCGCAGAGCCTGTGAGCAGTGACCCCGGGGGCAGAGACACTATCCCAGGCCATGCCTGAGAGATGGAAGCCCAGGATGACCGGGGCTGCCGAGCCAGGAGGAGCACCTACTTTAATGTCCATGCAAATGTCCAGTAAGAGTAAGAATATTTCTTTCCTTAGAAGATTACCTTGCATTTAAAGTCTTTATGATGCCCGCCTCCCAACTTTTCTGTGTATTCTTCTAAATCCAGCCCTGTCAGTTTGACCCTGAAGGTGTACCAGAAGTGTAACAATAATCTTGAACCCTATTGTGTGTCTGTATGTCATTTGGTGTCAAATGTTACCTGTTTGTCTGAGGGCAGTATGGGGAGATTGCTGTTTCAGGGATCAGGAGTCCCACAGTGTGACATTGGGTCTAACATCCCTGGTCTTCAGGCTCCCTATCTGTAAAATGGGGTCATCTCTGTGGTTCTTCCCACACCCCAATCTGTGTATCAGGGCCAGAGGACAGTCAGGTGTCCCTTATGTTGAACCAGGCTGATGACCACATCCCCATGAGTGACCCTGTCCAAGCCAGGGCCTGCCAGGAGCAGCCTCCCAAGTTGCGGAAGGGTGTACCTGCGGCTGATACTCCTGTGGTAGGTCAGGTGTGAGCCTGAGAAGGGCTTAGATGGGTAGGGAGGAGGAGAGACAGGAAATGGCTGCGTCATGAATGCCACGTCATCTGAGCCGAGATGACTGTCCCTGGGCCTGAGTTCCAGATGCAGTCAGCTGTCACAACTTCCTGCCCTGCCACCCTCGATTCTTTCTGTCCTTTCTCCCATGATAAAAAACTTCACATTTCTGACCCAATGCCTGATGCCAGGGTGAGAGGGCAGAGGGCAGGACAGCGTCAGTCTGACAGGAGGGAGTGACCTGCTAGGGTTTCTTACAAGGGAGTTCTTAGAGAAAAGATGGTTCAATGGCTAAATGAGATGCTGAGGTCGAGGACTGCAGTCACACCCGTGTTGATAAACAGAGTCCGCCAGTGTACAGATCCTAGCTCCAAACCGTAGAGGACCCAAGCAGTAGCACCAGAGACCTTGGGACTCCCAAACACTCTCAGCAGTGAATGCCCTAAATCACAGGTTGGCAAACTTTTTCCGTAAAGTCCACATATAAAATCCTTTAGGCTTGTGGGCTATTAGGTCTCTGTTGCAACTACTCAGTTCTGCTGTTGTAGTACAAAAGCCGCCATGGACAGTAGGTGAATGAATGGTGTGCCCGTGCTCCAATAAAACTTTATCTATTAAAAAAAAACAGGTGGTAGGGCCGGCCCGGTGGCGCACTGCTACAGTGCGCCGCTTGGGAAGCGCGGCGGCGCTCCCGCTGAGGGTTCGGATCCCACATACAGACCTGCCGCTCGCTGGCTGAGCAAGGTGCAGGAGCAACACCGAGGGTTGCGATCCCGTTGCCAGTCCCGGTCCGGTACGGGCGCGACACTGAGGGTTGCGATCCATTGCCAGTCACAAAAAAAGACAAAAAGGAAAAGAAAAAAAAAACTTTATCTATAAAAAAACCAGGTGGTATATACTCAAAAGAAGTGAAAGCAGGGGCTCGAATGAATATTTGTACACCTGTGTTTATAACAGCATTATTCACAATAGTCAAAATGTGGAAGTATCCCAAGTGTCCATCAATAGATAAGTGGATAAGCAAAGTGTATATATACACAGTGGAATATTATTCAGCCTTTAACAGGAGGAAATTCTGACACATGCCACAACATGGATGGACCTTGATATTATGCTAAGTGAAATAAGCCAGTCACAAAATGACAAATGTATGATTCCACTACATGGTCAGATTCCAGCTTCCTCTGCAGCTGGCTTTGCAGGGGCACAAGGGTAGCCTTGGCTGGTGTCCTCTTCTCCCCTACAGTGGGAATGGCCCTACCTAGGCCCTCAACACCCATCATGGGATGGACATAAGAGTCCACGCAGATGTGGCACTGACCACTACTGTCCCCAGAGACAATTTGCCTGGTCAGTGCTATAGGGACTGTCCGTTCCTTTCCTGGACAGCTTCTATCAGCCCAGAGCCTGTGGGCCATTGCTAAGGATGGTCATGGCAGCCCAGAGGCAGGGGGCTGAGTGGCTTTGGGACTGGCCTCAGGAGCAGTAGCTGCCTCTGGCCCGGCTCAGCTGCCCAAAGGGCATGTGCTGCCCTGAATGGCTTCCAGGGCCACTCTGACATGGGCCTGCTAAGGGTCAGAAGCTCTGCAATTATTCCATTCCCTTGCGAGCAAATTTCACTCAACTCTTTTCCATGTCTCTAAATGGGAATTGACTTGAATGTGCCCAGAGCTAAAAGACCAAAAGTTATGTAACATCTCCCAGGGATGGTGGCAGCTCACAAGCAAACATGTTGATTATACACTGCTGTAAGTTAAGACTCCATGTTTGCCTCTCTCGCCAAATAACTGCTCTAGCATGCATTAGGAGGAGGCTTTTGACACATGCAGCAACTAACTTTGTTGAAGAAGTGAGCAAGGTGACTTATCTGTAGGAAGAGAAATAAAAGTGCTTCTGTGTAAAATAGGGTGGAAATAATAATGAGGTTTATGATGGCAGAAAAATATCTTGAGGTAGAAAATGAACTGAGAATCAGAATTGCAGAAAATCATTTATCAAGTGCTTACTACCTGCCAGGCACTCTGCTAGCTTGTGCACACACATATATATCTCATTCAAGTCTCGGAGCAGCCCTTCAAGGTGGCAGTTATTAGTCTCATGAGGAAACTAAGAGAGAGTATGCCCTGGTCACCCAGCAGGAAGGAGCTGAGTTAGGTGCAGACCTAGATTTGACCAAAATCCAGAGTGTCCCAGACCCAACGAGGGGAATGGAGGAGCCTTGGAGAGGAGCCAGAGAGAGAATCCCAGCTCCCAGTACCAGTCACAATTTGCTGAGCACTCACTAGGTTCTGGGCACTAAACTTGGCACTGTACAGATGGTACCTGTTTTGATCCTCATGACTATCTTGGTATTCAATGTTGTATGGTTGTAAGTAATAGCAACACACTGAAGCAAGCTTAAGTGAAAAAAGAGGTTAGTTATTTCAAGGACAAAAGGGTGTTTTCTAAACCCAAGAATAAGAGACAGCCAGACTGCCCGGATTGCTGGAAAGGAGAGCTGAAGGGTAGTAACTAGGCTGGAGGGCTCTCTGTTGCACACCTGCTTTATCTTCTTGTGCAAAGATGTGGAAATGGCCACTCACAGCACATCCGAGTCCCTCCAGGTCTCTGCCTGGGTCATTTGACTCTATTGTAGTCAGTCATATTGGACAAAATAGTTGTGACTGAGGTGGGAGAAGCCAAGGGGTTGTTGTGAGTTGGGTAGACTTTAGTCCTACTTAATTCCAAGGGGTAAGTAGTTTTATCCCCATTTTGCACATAAAGAATTGAAATTCACAGGGGTGGAATATCCTAGCCCAAGGTTACATGGCTAGTGGTCACCATGGCTAATGGAGGGCGGGGAGGGTCTGAAGACCTATGTTTGTAATCACTGCATATAACTGCTCTAGAAGACAATTAATCTCAAGGCTACTCTTTGATTAAAAGCTGGAAAAGAAACCAGGATGGTGTAGCCTGAGAAGGCTCACTTGAGAATCTGTATAATAATATGAGTCCATCTTTGTTTTAAAAGCTCTTCTTTTGAGGGTGGTGACCAACTAGCAATTTTCTACAGTCAATGAAAGTTAGAAGGAGGAGCAGGCCTCTGAGAACAGGATCTCTGTGCTCAAGGGTCATCAGACATGAGGGCCAGCCATGCTGCAGGTGGGCCAGTGAGAGGCAGCCCTCTTTGAAGGCCAGGGGCTGGGCCACCTGGCTTCTCTTGGTTCTGTCCAGCCTCAGACTGAAATATGTCCTGACAAACTAACCCTGGCAGTAAATTGGAACACCCCAGGGGTTTGGATGTTCTCATCTGACCTTTTCACAATCTCTAAACAGATGGATTTGCATGTTTTTTTTGGCTCTCTTATTGCACTTGAGAGCGAATGTTCATTCTTAGATATTTCAGTTTACCCATGGGGTGGAGAGCATGGAGTTTGTTTATAAGTGAATATTTTGGTGTAGACTTGGCCAAGGTAGTACAAACTTTAAATGATATTAATTTACCACAAGATTTGGGAGTGTGTGCTCCATTGGGAATATTACCTAGTATTGTTTATCTAAAAAGGAGTATCTAAATTCGCCTTCATGTTCATGAACACTGAGTAGCCAGAGGTATGAGTAGGAAGCCTGGTGCCTGGAGAGTATGTTTCCTCCAGGAACAGAATAGCCTCTCAGATCAGGGGAATATTTTTGTGGGATGGAAGATTTTTGAAGCTGTTATAAGATTGTACTAATTGATGGTATTTTGCTTCTTGTTTTGCAGATTGGATACCTGGAAGATTACTACCATTTTTATCATAGCAAAACCTTTAAAAGATCAACATTGAGTAGTAGAGGCCCTCACACCTTCCTCAGAATGGACCCCCAGGTACAGATGGGCAGGGTACTTTCCTAAGGGCTACAGTGTTTGGTTTGTGGTCCTAAAAATGGCCGAGTCTGGATTTTAATGTGATTCTAGATAGACATTAGTTTTCCATATCTACTTTGAATAAAGCAAAACAGATGTGAAACTCCATATCAGACCATCTAAACGCTCTAAATATTTGGGTCCCTTGTCAGACCCCAAATTATTGACTCAGAATTTAAATTCTTGACTCTAGTTTGAAGCAACAATCACATGCATATAGATCTTTAGATATTTTAAAGATTAACAAAGTACACAATAATTACAGAAGATACAAGGGTACTTCAAAAAGTTCATGGGAAAATAGAATTAAAAGATAATACAAATCTTTCCATGAACTTTTTGAAGTACCCTTGTACATATGTGACTCTTACCCATAAAGCAAAAACACTAGGCAATTCAAGCAAGTGTTTTAATAATGAAATTAGAGATCAGGCAGATGGATGTTTTTGTGGCTGTCATAACACGTACCTTAATGATTACTGTGAATTTAAAAACTGGGGCAGTAGATGTAACTTTTTTTTTCTTAGAAACTTATGTGATCTTTGAGATTAAAACACATGTAATTTGAAAAGAGGCTAACATTTTAAGTTTTAATATAATTCTTATTATTGGGTGGTTAATTATGCTTTTTTCTTATTAGATTTGAAATTATTATTTGACAGCAGTCAACAGATAACTTGGCATAACTGAAAATTTAATATGGCCAAGTGAGTCTTTGAGTTTATTCGTTCAATAGGTATTTTGGAATACCTGCCAGGTGGCTGGTTCTGTCCATTGAGGGCCAGTGGAGCTGGTGGTGGGGCTGGCAGAAAATGAAACAGGAAATAGAAAAGTGGGTGATATGTCATGACAGTGTGTGCCGCGGGGAAATGTGGTGTGGACAGAGCAGCAGCAGCCGATAGGGGTCCGATAGCAAGCCCCACACCTGGGTGGCGCGAGGGTGCTGAGACCTTGCACCGAGGGCTTGCCGCTGCTGTTCCCACACCTGCCTCCTCTGCAGTGCGTGAGCCACTTGGTTTACTCATTTTAGGTGTGTTTAAAGAACTATTTTCAGTATGGGTGTGAGAGCAAAGTATTCCCAGTAATCTGTTGTCTCCTTGAAGGAAACAGGAGGAAGGACAGACTTACTAGGCAGAGGCTGTGGCAGTTAAATCTTCTCAAATAAAAAACCCTTTTCACAGAGCTTTCTAATAAGCTCCTGGCAGGGCTGTTAGCAAAGCATCCTGCCAGCAAAGAAGAGAGAAAACGTAAACAGCCTGGGTACCTCAGCCCTGCCTGGAACTTCCACGGGATTGGCTGATTGTTTCTCACAGTTCCAATTAAATTTTCAGCCCCAGGGAAAGCACATAGACATCTGCACCAGTTATGAGTTTGCAATCACAACTAAAACATGTCTGTTTAAATTAGTCTAGTTTTAATGCACACCAAATCAATTAGCTGTCAGTCTGACTAATATTTACTTTGCCTGGTCATTCTGGTTAAATATTTGGCAAAATGAGCTGTTTTATTTAAGTATCTAGTGTTATCCTTTATTGCAGTGCATCAGAACATTCTCCTACATTAGCGAAGTGTTTTTGTGACACCTTAACATCTGGAGAGTTGTGTAATTAATATTATTAACAGAAGGAAAAGATGATTTAATATTATCCATAGACACTGGAATGCAAAGTCATCATCGTGTTTGAATGACCAAACTGGAAATGAATGTTATAGGGCTTAGAATAAAGTTCAATCGAATGCAGATGGTATTTTATTTTAATTAGCTCCAGTCTCTATTGTATGAAAGTGCTTCAATAAGTGATGAAATTTACAGTTCACTGCTCCGTCACGTAAAAGCTGATAGAGTGCATGAAGGCACTTAAAAAGTTTCATGGAAAAATAGAATTAAGATGATACAAATATTTCCATGAACTTTTTGAAGTACCCTTGTACATTAATTAAAATAAAACAAAACATAAGGGGTGAAGGGAGGCAAAATAGCAGGACACACAACACATTTATGAAGCACCTTTTTGCACTGACCTAGCAGCAGAATTGTGCAGTCATATTTCCCTTATATTCTTAATTACCTTTACTTGATTTTTTTTTTTTTAAACCACCTTTGAGAAGGGCCATTTTGCTGGAATTGCTTTGTTGATCAGTCCTGTCCTTGGGAGAGCAGCCCAAGTGTTCTGAGTGTGCCGTATCAGTCACTAGGTTTTTCCAAGGGTTGTCATTTAAGCAAACTGAAAGCATTTGTTTTTAACTTTTCCAAAAGTCTGGAGAAGGGTGGATGAATAGCTGAAAAGTCTTACAAATTTTTAAAAAATTACTTGTTCTGATTGCATTCCAAGCTGGCTTATAGTTAGATGTTGCTGCCTGTGTCTTCCAAACCTTACATTTTAGTGCAATGAGTCGGTTCAGCCCTTTCCTTCCCTTCAGTACTCAGCCAGATTGATGACGGAAATGGAAGGATAAAGATATTATTAGGGAGGCCCTTGCCGGCTCCTTCCAGGGCAGTGGGAGCCTTTGGTTTGATGCTTCATTTCAGTGCTTTAAAGCTCAGAAGTTGCAAAATGATTTCAAGGACCAGAGTAGGCACTCTGTTCTGGAGGATGGGACTTTGCCCCCAGAGTTTAATCAAAGCTCAGGTTTCTCTCCAGCAGTGATGCAACCTTTAAGCAGTTCTTTCCATTAACCACAGATGGAATTTTATCTGACAGTTTCGTGCACTAGAGCCATTTGAAGTGCAAACAAACAGAAAGTTCCTGGCAAATAAAAGCACATAGACAGTAAGTGACCAAACTGGTCTCAGGAGTTGATGAACTGTGTAATGGGGGGTAGGGGGGTGGTGACTGGGACAACCATGACAAGATGTCTTTTCACATTTTCAGCACAGCCAACTGGTTCTAGTGGCATGGCTACTGTGAATCGGTAAGAAGTGTGAAATTTTAAAATATGCTTTAGAAGAAAGCGTTTTATTATTTCACCTGCTCACTCGGCACTTCCACTTAGGTGTCTCAAAGACGTCTCAAAGCAAACTAGCAAACTCTTCTCACACCCAACTCACCGCCTCTGAGCCCACCTCTGTCTCAGAGAGAGGCACTCACTTGTGTTCCAAGGCCGGAGCCAGCAGCCTCCCCTCCCCCACACTTGTTCCACCTCCTGTCCACAACTCTGCCCTGCCATGGCCTGATATCTCACCTTTGGCCAAGGTCCTGTCTTCTCTTGCCCCCCCCATCTGTTCTCCATGCTCCCAAGGGATCCTCCAAAACACACATCTGGCAGCCCCACTGTCCCTTAGGGTGTCCTACTTCCACCTCTCAGGCCCTCCTTGGTCTGGTCTCATGTGTCCCCCTGAGCCCCGGCACACTGGCCTTTAAAGCCCTCCTCAAATGACCTTCACTCTTTCCCTCCGAACAGCCTCTTCACAGAGGCTGCTCCACCTCCCCCTGCCACTGGGAAGACTGCTCAGAGTCCTCAAACCGGGCTTGCTCTTCCCCGCAGTTGGGTATTTGTATTCTAGGCTTGGTCCCAGAGTGGGAGCACGCGGCAGTGTTTGGTAGGAATGATGACCAATTCAGTTTGCTTGGGATCTGGTCAGTGATAGAGAAGGGGCTGGCAGGGGAGCTGCAGATGGTCCCTAGGAGGCCTGGATCGTCAGGCTCAGAAATGTGCTCGGTAGTTCAGAACCGAAGGAGAGACCATGGGAAGGTGAACTGCCCTGGTCCATGGATGCACCAGGGGAGAGGTGCTCATAGTTCAAAGCCTGCAAGTCTGTCTCTTGCCAGTGCAATATAAATTTCTGGAGGGCTGCCACGTCTCTCTTGTTTTTACTCCCTTACAGGTCCAGCAGATACCCAGAAAATAGTAGATGGATGCTTAGTAAATGCTTATTGAAATGTGTCTCAATATTCACAGATTAGGTTCACATAAGCAAGTTATACCTGTTATCACTCGCTTATGAACTTCTTTGTACGTAAATACTTTAGAAGTAAATTGTGGCTCACCTCGGTTAAATTATGATAGATACTGTAAAGAGAGCCTGGATGAACAAAGCTGTGTTCTGTGTTGCCGAAGTAAAGGGACTTCTGCTAGTGTCTGGGCCTTGGACATGTAGACCAGTGTCTGACTCCACTAGTCTATTAGTTTGCTAGGGCTGCCATAACAAAGTATAGGTTGAGTATCTCTTATCCGAAATGCTTGGGACCAGAAGTGTTTCAGATTTTAGATTTTTTTGGATTTAGAATATTTGCAGAATAAGTACCAGTTTAGCATCCCTAATCTGAAAATCTGAAATCAGAAATGCTCCAATGACCATTTCTTTTGAGCATCATGTCAGGGCTCAAAAAGTTTTGGATTTTAGAGCATTTCAGATTTGGAGTTTTGGATTAGAGATGCTCAACCTGTACCACAGACTGGATGTAAGAAATTTATTGTCTCACAGTTATGAAGGCTGGAAGTCCAAGATTAAGGCATCGGCAGGGCTGGTTTCTTCTAGGTGTCCTGCAGATAGCTGCATTCTCCCTGTGTCCTCACATGGTCATCCCCCTGTGCGTGTCTGCGTCCTAATCTCCTTTTGTTGTGAGGACGCCAGTCAGATTGGGTTAAGGCCCACTCTACTGACCTCATTTTAGCTTAGTCATCTCTTTAAAGACCCTGTGTCCAAGTGCAGTCACATTCTGAGGTAATGCGGCTTAGGTCTTCGACATAAGAATTTGGGGGGACACGGTTAAGCTCATATCAATATGTGAAGTTCAGCTCTGGCTGCCTGTTCTGTTGTCTGTGATTGGAAGCAGGTGATGGGCAGCGGGGAGAAGGATACCTTCTGTTCCTTTCAGCAAAATAAGAACTAACTTACAAATGAATGAATAGCTTTAATTGCCCAAAGTACTTTCACACCCACCGTCCCCTGTCCAAAATGGGTGCAACAAGCACTGTCATCTCTCCTGACTGTCATGTCCGGCACATGTCGTTTGGCT